TACCAATTGATATATTTCAGTGAACAGATACTGCCCTAGATGTGCTCATCAAGTGGTGCCAAGAAATCTGGAGGACAACCAACTGGCCAACTGACTGGAAGAGATCTGTATTTGCTCCTATTCCAAAGGAAGGTGATCCAACAGAATGTGGAAATTATTGAACAGTATTATTAATACCACATGCAAGCAAGATTCTACTGAAGATTATCTAAAAACACCTAGAAGGGCACATCATCAGAGAAATGCCTTAAGTGCAGGTTGGGTTTAGAAGAGGCTGTGATACTAAGGATATTGTAACTAATGTTAGATGGATATTGGCTGAGAGCAGACAGTACCAAAGGAATGTCTCTGTGTTTCATTGACTATGCAAAGGCATTTGACTGTGTGGACCACAACAATCTATGGCTAACTCTGAGAAGGATGGGAATCCCAGACCATTTAATCGTGCTTATACGAAACCTATACTTGGACCAGGAGGCAGTCGTAAGAACAGAGCAAGGGAAAACTATATGGTTAAAAATTACAAAGGGTGTATGCCAGGGATGTGTCCTATCTCCATAATTTTTCAATCTATATATAGAACAGATTATCCAAAAGGGTGGGCTTCTATGGGAGAAATGTGGCATCGGGATTGGAAGAAGACTCATCAACAATCTGCATTATGCAGATGACATCACCCTGTTTGCTGAAAACGAGGAGGACCTGAAGCACTTGCTGCAGAAGGTCAAGAATTGCAGCCTTCAATATGAATTGAAGCTCAAGATCAAGAAAACAGAAATTTTCACCATTAGTCTGATCGACAGTATCATGATGGATAGTGAAAGGATTAAGATTATAAACAGCTTTAGTTTGCTTGGCTTCACAATCAACACTCTTGGCACAAGCAGCCAGGAAGTTAAAAGATATATTGCTTTGGGAAAGCCTGCTGTCAGAGACTTCCAAATACTGAAGAGCAATGATATTTTTCTGGAGACTAAGGTACACCTGATACAGGCCATGGTCTTTGCCATCACATGCTATGCATTCAAGAGCTGGACAATGATTAGGCAGCATAGAAGGAGAATTGAAGCTTTTGCACTGTGGTGTTGGAGAAGAGTATTGAATATACCATGGACTGCTAAGAGAACAAATAAGTTCATCTTAGAGAGGATGAGACCAGGCTGCTCCTTGGAGTCAAGGATTCTGAAGCTTTGTCTGACATACTTTGGACATGTTGCAAGGAGGGACCAGTCCTTAGAGAGGGACGTCATGCTTGGCAGGGTAGAGGGACAGCGCAGGAGAGGAAGACCCTCAATGAGATGGATTGATTCAGTGACTGGAGTAATGGGGGTAGGTGTGTCAGAGACAGTAAAATTGGCACAGGATAGAGCAGGATTTAGGGATTTTTTTTTATATAGAGTCTCTAGGAGTCACAGGTGACTCAAAGTCACATAGCAACAACAACTATTCCATCACCAGAGCTTCTTAGAAAGTTTGGCCATCCCGCCCTAGAGCTTTTCTTATGCAGACAGACCTACACAATTTAAAAACAGGCTCACACTCTACATTGTGCTTCAAAACTAATTTATTCACAGAGCAATTCACTTTGCTTGCATTTACATTTAAGGTGTATTCTTTTTTTGTCTATTTTTTTATTATTTTTTTTTATTCAATGAACATCTACAGAGATTTTGGAATTCCATTCATTCATTGTTGCACTTTTCTTATCGATATATCTAAATCTGCATCATTTGACTGACTACCTCACATGGAAATAAAAAAAAAACCTATCCAGTTCACTATTATTGGCATTTGGGCATTTTCGGATTTTGATATTTTAGACAATGACTGGTGAGTTTTGTTAGATAAAAGTCTTAACACACTTTTCAAATTATTTCCTTGGGAAGAATTTCCTAGCAGTAGAAATAATTGTACAAAGGATATACACATTTCAGAATTTCCTAAAAGTATCTTTAAACACAGTAGTATTGGTGGGTGTGTATGCACTTAGGCAATGTTTTTGAACTGAATATATTATCAGTGTGCAGGATAGGCTCTTAAGTAAGTAGACCTGGTTTGCACATTGAAGAAGGCTACCTGCCCCCTAGCTTTCCTTTGCCCAGTGATCCCCTCCAGTGGCTCCACCCAGCTTAGCTTCCCTCACACCTGCTACCACAAATATGCCTGCATTTATCTCCATCTGTCTCTAAAAGGCCTCCTTCTAACAGTGTGGTGACTTCTCCCTTTCTATTTATTTGGTCTATAGGTGGGAACTTCCTCTGTGGTTTATCCTGCTGCCATGTTTGCCCCTCAGGTGTCTGCCAGGGGCATCCCTGTGGCTGAATTCAACATGGAAACCACCCCAGCCACGGACAGATTCAGGTAGGAGCCAACTGAGAGGGAGGTAGAAGACCATGAGCTGTTTGGACAGGGTCATCTAAACAAATGTTATCTGCTGTTTTATTTTTTAAAATAAAAAAATACTTGCCATCTTATTTGTTTAAAGGGAGCTTATGAGACCTAGTAGCAAGAAGGGGCACTGCAATCCCAAAGGCACACAATTGGAGGTCACCAGCTGCTCTTCGGAAGAATGATGGGCAGTCTCCTCCCATGTAGTTAACTGTGGACTGGGGTCGGGGGAGGGACTGTATAACAATGAAAGAATTTTTGTTCCCAAAGAGAAAAGTGAACTAGGGAGAGGGGGCAGGAAGGAAAATATGCAACAATAAATGACTGGAAATCTAAGTTCTCTATAAACTTTCATTAAAATCTCAATTAAAACCCCCAAAAGACAAACAAAAACCTACCAGAGGGTCAGCTATGAGCTGGTTTCAACTTGACTGTATACACCAACATTTGTTCTAAAGTTCTGTTCACAGAAGAACAAATTACTGTTGAGGAGAATAAGGTGTCTGTATATTTTAACAAGTGCTTTTTGCCATCTTGTTATTTGTTATGTTCTGTCACGTCAGAAACAAGCCACAGTTGACTCTCCACTGGGTTTTCAGAGGCAATAAATTGCATGTCAGGAGATTATCTACCCTTCTCCCACAGAGCAGCTGGTGGGTTCTAATTGGGTGCCTTTGGTTTGGCAGTGTAGCTCCTTACCACATTCTTACATTTTGAAAGATTCCTTTTGGTTCCTTAGGTTTTCCTATCATTTATCTTTAAAAAAAAAAAACCAAAAAACCATAAGATGCAGGTGAACCAAACACTCAGAAAGCCTAGCTGTTCCCATGTGGAATGTCATCTGAGGGAGATAGCTGGGAAAACGCTTATGGGTGTAGTTGTGAAGAGTATTTGTGCTTGTGGCCACATTATGATACTGATCTTGTTTTCCAGATTTGTATAGAGAGTGTAGGTCATCATAGTATTTATTTTTTTTAAATTGATTTTCATACAGTCATTCGTATACATCATGTTCCATTCATGTACATAGTGTTTATGCAATCATTAATATACATTGTGTTTTATAGTTAATTACTATTCCCCTTTTATACCCTAATCTTATATCCTCATTGCACCTTACCTGTTCTCTCACCCCGTCACCATCCATCTACTAATCTCTGCTATAGTATTCATTCTTGATCTCATTATACTTCTTATCTTTACACTTGTTTTACTTCTTTTGTTGTTGTTACATGCTGTTGAGTCAACTATAACTCATGGTGACCTTATGAAGAATAGCTCTGAAATCTGCCCTTTCCTGAGCCAGTCTCTCTGTTTCTGACACCCTTACCCCAATTGCCATAGTCACTGTGCCAGTCCATCTTGTCCAGTGTCTTCTCCTGCACTGACCTTCCCTCTGCACTTCCAAGTTTAATGTCCTTTTCCAAGGACTGGAAGCCTCTAGGCAATGTGCCCAAAGTATAAGTATGTGAAATGGAGTTTCAAAATCCTTGCCTCTGTGGAACAACTTGGTTTTAATCTCTCCAGGACAGACTTGTTTGTTCTCTTGGCAGTTCATGGTATGCATGTTCAACACTCTTCTTCAGCACCATAACTCAAAAGCATCAATTGTGCTTCTGTCATCCTTATTAATTAACCAGCTCTCTGATGCATAGCAAGCAATTGGAAGACCATGGCCTGGATCAGGAGCACTTAAGTCTCTAGACTGACATCATTGTTCTTTAGCATTCTGGAGTGGTAGCAGACTTCATTAAAGCAACTCACCTTTTGATTTCCTGCAAAGACTGTTGATTTTGAAGTAAATGAAAGTAAAATGAAATTGTTAACATCAATCTCTTCTCCATCCATCATGATGCTGCCAATTGGCCTGGTGGTGAGAATGGTGAGATGCAATTCGTATTGAATGAAGACTGCCATCCTTGACCTTCTAGAAGCAAGTGCTTCAGGTTCTCCTCCGTTTTTGTGAGCAAGGCTGGGTCATCTGCATAACACAGGTTCTTCCTCCAATCCTGATGCCACATTCCTCCTCATAAGATCCAGCCTCTTGAATGAATTTTTTTCTGTATATAGATTGAAAAAGTATAGAGAAAGGATACATATGATGCACTCCTTTCTTGATTTTGAGCCACGCGGTATTCCCTTGTTCTGTTTGTACAGCACCTTCCTGGTCTAACTATAGCTTTTGCATGAGCACAATCAAGTGTTCTAGGATTTCTATTCTTTTCAAGGTTAACCACAATTTGTTGTGATCCACAAAGTCAAATGCTTTGCATAGTTAATGAAATACAAATAGATGTCCTTCTGGTGCTCTCTGCTTCCAGCCAAGATCCATCTGACATTGGCAGTCACACCCTGAGTGCCATCATCTTTTCTAAACCCAGCTTGTATTTCTGGCAGTTCACTGTCAATGTACTGTTTTAGTTGTTTTTTGATAACCTTCAGTAAGATTTTGTGTACATGAGGTATGAGTGATATTGTTCAATAATTTCCTCAATCTCTTAGATCACCTTTTTTTTTATTTTTGAATGGGAATAAATATGGTATCTTCCAGTCAATTGGCTAGGTAGATGTCCTCCAGATTTCTTGGCACAACCTGGTGAGCACATTCAGGGCTGTATCTATTTGTTGAAATATGTCAGTCGTTGTTCCATCAATTGCTGGATCCTTATTTTTTTGCCACTCCCTTCAGGGCAACTGGAACTTCCTTCTTTGTTACCATTGATTCTTTATCATATGTTATTTCATGAAATTGTTCTGTGTCAACCAATTATTTTTTAAGCAGTGACTCTGTGTATTTCCTCCATCTTTTGTTTATGCATTCTGAATCATTTGATATTCTTCTCATGACATCTTTTAAGTATTGCACCTCAAGATTTGAATTTGTTCTTCAGTTTCTTTAGCTTAAGAAATGCTGAGTGAGTTCATCCCTTTTGCTTTTCTCACGCCAGCTCTTTGTACATTTCATTATAATACTTTGCCTTGTCTTCCAGAGCTGCTTTTTGAAATTTTCAGCTTCTGTTTCAGCTTCTTAACTTCTTGATTTCTTCCCTTTGCTTCAGCTTCTTGGAGTTCTAGTGCAATATTCAGAATCTCTTCTGACATCTATCTCACTATTTTCTTCCTCTTCTGTTCTGTCTTTGTAATGACCTAGTCTGGAGCAAGTGATGCTGCCATCCCAAAAGTGATTTGAATCTTCCAATGGCTGTGATGGAAAAAAGATGATCAATCTCTCCCTGTGGGATTTATAGCCTCAGGGACTTGACTGGAGTGAGTTGGAGTTTTTTTGAGTTTTATCAGTACTATCCAAACAATTTTTTTTAAATTATTTGTGTGTGTGTGTGTGTGTGTGTGTGTGTGTGTGTGTGTGTGTGTGTGTGTACCATCAAATTGGATCTGACTGGTGCAGGAGGAGACTGCCCCTCCTTCTCTTAGCAGAGGATCTGGTGGATTTAAACTGCATACCTCTGGTATTGCAATGCAGCTTCTTGCCATGCAGCTTCTTGCCACTAGGCCACCAGAGCTCCCTACTCCAAAATACTGAAGAGCAATGGTGTCTCTCTGGGGACTAAGGTGCATCTGATACAGGCCATGGTCTTTGCTATCACTTGTTATGCATTAGAGAGTTGGACAGTGACTAAGGGGAATAGAAGGAGAATTGATGCCTTTGAGCTGTGGTGCTGGAGAAGAGTATTGAGGGTACCATGGACTGCTAGGAAAACAAACAGATTCATCCTGGAAAGGGTTAAACCGGGCTGCTCCCTGGAGGCAAGGATTTTGAGGCTCTGTCTAACATACTTTGGACATGTTGTAATGAGGGACTGGTCCTTGGAGAGGGACATAATGGTTGGTAGGGTGGAGGGACAGCGCAGAAGGGGAAGGCCCTCTATGAGGTGGATTGATTCAGTGTCTGGGGTAATCAGGATGGGTGTATCAGAGTGCAATTGGCACAGGACAGAGCAGAGTTTAGGGCTGTTGTACATAGGGTCACTATGAGTCACAAGAGACTTGATAGCACATAATAACAACAGCATCCAAACAAAGAAAAAAGAAAATTAATAGTTACAAGAACAAGTTAACTGTAATGTGGAAAATCCATTCCACAAATACATCACTCTCTCACTCATTCCCATCTAGTCAGAACCAACTCATAGCTGGCCCTCCTGTGGGTTTTGAGAGGCTGTGTATAGTGCAGGAGGAGGTTGCCTATCTTTCTCCTGAAGAGCAGCTGGTGGATTCAAACTGCCCATCTCTGGGTCGGCAGCACAACTCTCTTACTCACTTGGCCAACAGAAACCTGCTCAAATTGTGTCTAGAAATTTAACGATTTTTTAAAAAAATAGATGCACAGAACTTGGTCCACATGAGTTTATTAGTAAGTAGTTCATTAGTAGGTTGAAGAACAATTCACCTCACTTTTCTATCTTTACTTTTAATTTTATATTTATAATTTCATAATTTTTTTCATTCCTTTCCAGAGTAAAGTTAGATAGAAATAACTGATAAGTAGTTAAAAGGAAATAGAAAACTTTATCACAATTTCTTCTTGTTGTTTTATTCAGCAGTTTTGGGCCAGTGTTTTGAAAATACTAAAGCCAGAATCCCCACCTCATGAAATTCTGTTATAATTTGAGGTTATGTGGAGGAGATTATGAGGAAGGTGCAGGATAGGGCAGGGTTCATAGTGTCACTGAGAATCATGGTTGCCTCAGTAGCACACAACATGTGAGCTCTGGTGGCCTACTGGCAAGAAGCTGTCCTGTGATCCCAAAGAAAAGCAGTTCGAATCCATCAGGTGCTACACTGGAGAAGGATGGACAATCTCTTCCTGGGTCAGTCAGATCTGATTCAACAGTACACAACCAGAAAAAAAAATTTGAAAAAGAAAAATAGTTCCTAACAACAAGAGGAGGTGATTCTATTGTGTAGCCAGGGTGGGCACGATGGCTCTGAGCTTTTATGAGGAATTAAAATATACTACTAAGAAGCTGTTTCCTGAAGAGAGTAAAGGAACACTGCACACTGGTCATGGTTTAAAATCAAGAAAGTAAAAAAAAAAAAATCAAGAAAGTATGCATCAGGGTTTATAATTTCTCCATATCTATTTAATCTGTATGCTGAGCAAATGATTTGAGAGACTGAACTATATGAGAAAGAATGTGGAGGAAGGATTAAAGGAAGACTCATCAACAGCTTACGAGATACAGATAATACAACCCAGCTTGCAGAAAGTGAAGAAGTGAAGAAGACCTGAAGCCCTTAGTGAAGAAGACCCAGGCCTTCAGTATGAATTACACCTCAACATAAAGAAAACAAAACTCCTCACCACTGAACCAGTAGGCAATTTCATGATAGATGGCGAGAAGAAATTGGCAAGGATTTCATTTTACTTAGATCCACAGTCAACACCCATGGAAGCAGCAGCCAAGAACTCAAAATATGTGGTGTACTGGGGCATTCTCCCGGCAGAGACCTCCTGAAAGTGCTAAAGAGCAAGGATGCCACTTTAAAGGTTTACGTTATGCCATGATATTTTTCATTGCTTCATATACGTGTGAAAGTTGGAGAGCGAATGAGGAAGATTGAAGAATTGATGCCTTTGAGTGATGATGTTGAAGAAGATTGAATTTATCACAAACTGTCAAAAGAACAGACAAATGTCTTTAGGAGAAAGTGCAACAAGGGTGCTCCTTAGAGGCAAAGAAGGTGAAACATCTCATGTACTGTGGGCATGTTGTAAGGAGGGACAAGTCCTTAGAAGGGGACATCATGCTTTGAAAAGTGGAATGCTGGCAAGGGAGAGGAAGACACTCAAAGAGATGGATTGACACAGTAACTGCAGCAGTGCATTTCAGCTCAGCTGAGATTGTAAGGATGATGCAGAATTGGACAAGGTTTCCATCTGTCATACATCAGGTCACGGTGAATGGAGGCAACTCATTGGTACCTCACAACAGCATATAGCGAAGAGAAATGAAGACATAGATCCTAACAAAACCTCAAAAACCTGTACACAAAGATTCATAGCAGCATTGTTCATAACAGGCAAAACTGTAGAAACAACCCAAATATCCAGTAACTGATGAATGGGCTAAAATGTTATTACTTATACATAAAAAAGTGAAGTGCTAATGGACTCTATTTCATGGATGGTTTTTGTTATTGTTTACTGTCTGGTTGGAAGTGACTCATAGCTAATAGTAAATTGCATGGGAGGAAATTGTCCATCTTTCTCCCACAAAGCAGTAGTGGATTTGAACCACACAACTCCTTACCACCAAGCCATAGGGCCAGTTCTCCTTCAACCTCACCTCTAGACATGCTCCCTATTTAGAACTAATACTTACATCTAAGAAGTGGAGTACCCCTACTTCCCCAGACTCCCCTAGTCTCTGCACACATTTGATATGAGCAGATCCCAAGGTTAGTATCAGGCAGAACCGCCTAGAGATGTGATCACAGCCCACATCCTGGTCTGTGATTGATCAGGGAGGAGGCCAGGACAGTTACAGAGCCCCGAGACTCCTTGGTCTGTGAGGCATTTGTGCTGCTGGGGAGCTGATGAGTGCCTGGAGGCTGCTATGCCCTGTGACCTCAGTGCTGGGTACAGTTCATCTGTAGCATCTCTGCACCTGGGAATTCAGTTGAAATCCCCAAATAGCCCTGGTGGCCTGGTGGCCTGGCGGCAAGAAGCTGTGCTGTAGTCCCGAAGACTTGTGGTTCGAATCCACCCACCAGTTGCTTCATGGAAGAAGGGTGGGCAATCTTGTCCCCTGCCATTAACTGCCTCTGAAAACCCACAGTAGGGTCAGCTATGGGCCGGTTACGACTCAATGGTATGCAACCACAATAACAAACAGAAAATGTATCAGTTAACACCATGTATACATATGAACAAGTTACACCAGTACCTCAGGCCCCTGCAGGAACTCAGTTGTGTTTCTAGTTGCACAGACCATGTATGTCTTGGGAACTGTACCGCCAGAGTGCTCCTTAGACAAGGATGGCAAAGTTTGATCTCTCATACTTCGGGCATGTTGCTAGGAGAGCCCATTCCTTAGAGAAGGACATCATACTCGGAAAGGTGGAGAATCAGCGAAAGAGAGGAAGACCGTCAACGAGATGGATTGACATGGTGACTGCAGAAATAGCACAAGTGTGTCGGGCATGATAAGAATGGCCCAGGATAGGACAGGCTTCAGATCTGTTGTTCACAGGGTTACTTTGAGTGGTACTCGACTTGATGGCACCTAACAACAACAGTGCACAGGACTGTGGTGGCTTAATGGTAGAAATCCCACTTTCCCTGGAAGAGACTGGGCTCAGTTCAGCCTCTAGTCCTCTGTCAGTGGGAGCTAGTGTGTTGTTATGAGGATCAACAAGTTTTTAGCTGCTGGTGGATTAGAACTCCCACAAACACAAGACCTTTTGGTTAGCAGCACAGCATGCTATGGACTATGCCAGCAGAGCTGCTTATAGCATATTGCTTTTTGTGTGCCACTGAATTGGAACTGACCCACAGTTGACCCTTCAGCATGTTTTCAGAGGCAGTAAATCACACGGAAGGAGATTGTCCCATCATTTTCCCATGGAGCAGCTGCTGGTTTGGAACCTCATGCCTTTGGGTTGTCAGTGCAGTTCCTTACCACTAAGCCACCAGAGTATTAGAAGGTAACAAAAACAAAATGAAACTCATTGCCAGTGAGCTAATTTCAACATATGTTGGTGCAGTGTGTTACAGAGTAAGATTGGCCCACAGGGTTTTCTTGGCCTTTTGGAAGCATGTGCCAGGACCTTCCTTCCATGGCGGTTCTGTGGTAAGGTGTTGTCGATTTGGCAACAGTATGTCCAACAGAATAAAATGCTACCTCATGCTGTCTCATTAACAATATTAGTTGCTGTATTTAAGGCCAGATTGCTGTGCTGAAGCCTCTGTGTCAATCTGTCCCTTTGAGGACCTTGTTTTTCACTGACCTTCCACCCAACCAACACTGACGTCCTTCTCCAAGGGCTGGTCCCTCCTCATCACATGTCCGCAGTCTGTAAGACCTGGTCTCCCTATCCTCCCTGCTAAGGAGCTCTCTAAGGAGCACTCTGTGTACTTCTTTCAGGACGATTACTCAGCTGCTCTTGTCGTCTGTGGCATATTCATTGCTCTTGTCCATCGTGTGCTGTGGGTGGCAGGGAACTAGAGATGCCGTGTGATCGGGGATCTCCATGGACAAGGCACCAGGAGGAGGGAACCTTTACTGGATTTGAGAAATATACCAAGAATAATTAGTAAATTAGTATGAAGGACAGTTTCCATTGAGGAAATACTGTTTGCTGGGTTGTTGTTGGGTTTTTTGTTTTTTGTTTTTTTTTTTAAAATTTATTTTATTGTGCTCAATTTGTTTTCTTCAGAATGAATCCAAGAACCCGGCTGTTTGTTTTTTATTCCTGGTTTTGTGTTGTTTTGTTTTCTCCCTCATCCCTAGTGTCTTCCCTGGATAGAATAGGAATGTTGAGGTTTCTTTTCTTTCTTCTCCCTCGTTTTCTCCAACATTTACTTTCAGAATGCTGGTCAGAGGCAAGTTAGAGAGTCCAGTGGACCATCTGAGAGGGCTTTTGGCTCAGCTGAAGTCCTTATGGTGTGGTTTAAAATGATCATGTTTTCTAAAATTGTGTCAGAAACTTAGCAATTTGAAATTACATCAGTAGAAATGAAATATTGCATGCATGCTTGAAGAATTTGAATTACTTTGACATAGAGAAACAGTCTTGATTTCCAGCCTAGGTACAGATTCTACAGAAAGCTTAACCCTGTAGGTGCCAGCCCCTATATATTACATTATAGGGAGCTCTGGTGGCCTAGCGGTTACAAACTGCTACAATCCTGAAGGCATGTGGTTCAAATCCACCAGCCGCTCTGAAGGAGAAGGATGGGCAGTCTCCTCTCATGCAATTAAGCTGCCTCTGAAAATTGGTGGATCAGCTATGGGTCATTTCCAACTCGATGGTACACGACAACAGCTACTCACACACATACTACACCATAGAATTTCACTAAGTTACAAACTCAAAGATACACGAGGAAATACCAACAAAAACACCTTCCAGTCCTGCCTTCTTTTACCCCGTAAAACAAAACTCTTGTTTAGACTGTTTACGGTGAAGTGTTACTAAGAAACTAAATGAAAGAAGGGGACTCAGACATTCAGAACACCCTATTTGGGGGAATTTAGATTATACTTCAAAGCTAAGAGTAACATGAGAAGCGTGAGGAAGGTACAGCATTGGGCAGGGTTCTGATCTGTTATTCGCAGGATCTCGGTGGTTCTGAGTTGCTTCATTGGTACCTAACAACAACAGAACTAAGAAATATATGACTTTGGTCACACAGATTGAAGCAGGGTGTTGTTCCCTTTGCTAACCTTTGATGCATGTGCTACTTTTGTTTCAGGTTTCATTTCCAGGGACCCTGTGGCACAACCCTCCCGGAAGCCCTAGCCCGTCATGAAACAGAAACTGGTTCTTAATTATCCCGGGGAAAAAAGAATGATAGTGCGTCTGATTTCAGAGTCATGGTTCAGGAAAAATGATCCGTGGATGGTGACCAGAATGCTGGGACAACCCAACATATCCTCTGGTTCCTTAACTGGAATCCACCCTGTAGATGGTGAAGGACGTTTAACAGCAACAATATAGCAAAAGAAGGATTCAGATAACCACAGCATTAGTGTCTACTGTATTTTATTTGAATGTACACATAAAATACCTCTGAAGTGTTTCATTGCTTATTGGAAGTGGGCAAACAGTATAACTAAATTGTCTTCAAAAAGTAATTTAATTTTTACCATTATTGTAAAAATAGAAGGATAACTAGTAAAACTTGTATGGGAGCGCAAAGGGGGACGGGGTAGAAGCGGAGGGGTGAGGCTGGGTAGGACCAAAACCACAGGGCTGCACAGTTTGATGGGTTGAAGATGGGAAAAAAGGGGAAGGATCTGGGTGAAAGACATGGTAATGCTAGGCAAGGTCCAATGTTGATTCATTTTATAAACTATAATGCATGAGAATGGTTGTATGACACACAGTATGTATGAAGAATAGTGTGAAACACAATGTATGCAAACTTTGTAAGCAAACCAATAATTTTTAAAAAGTCATTTAATCTTGATTTGATTTCTGCTGTTTTGGTAAAGACAGAATTAAATGAGATAAATACTTGGATATCTTAATCTGATCGTTGCACAAGTTTGGGCAAAAAATAAAACTCATTCTAAGTACTTGGTAATTTACTATATACAGATACTCAATGCTTTGCATCAGCCAAGAGATGTTATTGTCACAGGCAGCAGCTGCTGCTGCTTTCCATGCCTGCCTGGTCTCAGAGGACATGGAATAATTTATGACAAGAACTCACAAAAGAGAGAAAAAATATGGCAGAAAATCAGGATGACAAAAATCTTAAATATATGGACCTGAAGACTAACCACAGTCCAGAAATGCACCTCTGACTTTTAGCAGCAGGTGAGCTCTGGTGACCACTAGGACTATAGTCCTCTGGTGACTATAGGAGGCTGCACTGCTCACCCACAGGCTGGGCCTCTCTGGCAGTTTGAATACCAGAGGCTCCCCTGGAGAAAGAAGGCCAATCCTTCCCACACAGTCTCCAGCCTAGGAAAGCACTGTGGAGGGCCAGCTGTGAGTGTGTTCTAACTCAGTGGCAGTGAGGGAGCGAGTGTTAGCCACCAGGAAGGCGGGCAAAAAGGGTGAGCTGCTTCTCAGTGGCATCAAGGCAGAAGCATCCAGTCCTTGGAGTCGGCCCAGCTTTCCCAGGCCCTGAATTCTGAAGGGAATTTTCTCACTGGGCATGACAAATACTGCTTTTACCACTGCAGAGTTCTGTTTCTGGAGACTCCAGCTTTCTCCTTAAGCCTGACCATGTCACCTAGCACCTGTGACCATGTGAAGCTCTTATGGTGAGCTTCAGGGGCCTGGTGGGGAGGAATCACCTCAGTCAACAATGGTCTCTGGCATTCTTGACTTTCAGCCAGAATCTATCTGACATCAGCAATGATATCCCTGGTGCTATGGCCTCTT